CTCCTCCTCCCCCTCCTCGGGGGGCTCGTGGCCCAGCTTGAGCTGCTCCTCCAGCGAGGCGATGAGCTCCTCCTGCATGTCCCCGTTGCGCGCCGGCGAGTTGGCCGTGCCGTCGGGGCCGGGCAGGACGCTGGCCACCAGGAAGGATTGCTGCACCAGCTCGGGAGAGTCCCCGATCACCTCCAGCGCCTCGGCCAACCAGCACAAGACCAGCTGCAGGAGGATGTCCGAGTCGCACGTGGAGTCCGCCATCTCCCTGGCCTGCTCCTTCCACTTTTTGTGCAAGAAGTTTTTCACGGTCCTCTTGACGCAAACGTCCAGGGGCTGGATTTTGGAGCTGCAGCCGGCGGGCACCACGGCGGGCAGGGTGCCGGCGGAGCTGAGGGCGGCCAGCACCTCGTCGGAGAGGTGGCCCCGGTGGCAGTCCAGCACCAGCATGCCCTTGCCGCTCTGGCACGCCGCGTGCTCGCGCCACACGCGGGACGCCCACAGCTCCATCACCTCGTCGTCGCCGTAGCCGCCCTCCCTGGCCTCCAGCAGGACGGACTCGGGCACGCTGGCGGGCGCCCGCACGCGGCCCCGGTAGAACACCAGGGCGGGCAGCACGCTGCCGTCGGCCAGGATGGCCAGCACCACGTCGCACCAGGGCTCGCCGTTGCCCACGGTCTGCAGGGCGTTCTCCTTCCGGTCGTCGCTGCCCAGCACCTCGGCGTCCAGGAACAGCGAGATCTCGTCCACGGCGGCGATCATGGCCAGCGGCAGGTCCTGCGTGTGGATCTGGCGCTGCACGAACTCGATGAAGGAGCCGGCGCTGTCCTCCACGCCCTTGGGCAGCGGCTGCGCCACGGCCCGGCGCGTGTGGGTGCTCAGGTGGTGCCTCAGCATGAACCTCACGGCCCACTCGTAGGAGATCTTGAACCCCCCCTCCAGCGAGCGCCCGATCTTGGTGGCCTTCTGGAACAGGGTCTCCTCGTTGACGGGCAGCTGCTGCTCCCGCTGCGTCAGCACCCACTCTGCCAGCTTCTCCTCGGCCTCCAGGCTCAGGTACTTGCCCTCCAGGCTCTCCCCCTGGCAGGCCTGGGCGCGGCGCAGCCAGCGGCGGACGCGGCGCGGGGGGTTTCGGAAGTGCTCGGCCGCCTGCTCGGGGTCGGAGCACAGGGCGAACAGAACCACCCGCAGCTTCTTCACCGACAGCTGCTCCTTCCTCAGGGCACCCCCCGCCGCCTCCAGAGGATCCTTGGGGGGCTGCTCTTCCTCCTGCACAGCGCCCTCCTCCTCCTCCTCTTCCTCTTCCTCCTCCTCCTTCTCCTCCGGCTGCTGCTCCAGGGGTCTGTCCGGGGTTGCCGGGGTGGGATCGGGCTCTGGGTGGCCTTGGGAAGGAGCCACGGGCTGGGGTTTCACAGTAGCGGCTTGGCCGGGGGAGCAGGGAGGGCAGGGGGGCTGCGGGCTCGTGTCCTGGGCTTGGAGGTGCCTGGCGGGGAGAGAACGCAGGGAAATTCCTGGAAAACTCAGGGAAAAAGGGAGAAGGGGGGGAAAAAAACCCCCAGCCCCGAGGGAGGGAGGAGGGGAGAGGGCAGCTCGCAGAAGGGTTTACCTGGAATGTGATATCCAAGTGGGCCCTGAAAGGAAAACAAAGCAGTTTGTGAAGCTCAGCAAACAAACACTGAAATCAATCAGTGCAGATAAACACACCGAGCCGGTGCGAATAAACACGAAATCGGTGCGAATAAACACAAAATCAGCGCAAATAAACACTCCAGAGGGGAGGGCCAGTGTCTCCCTTACTCCCCACTTTCTCCAGGCATAGCAAAGATCCACCTTTTCCAAGCCCGGCCTCCTGCCACAACGAGCAAAGCCTTGGAGCCGGCAGAGCCACGTCTGTCAGGGATCCCTCCAGACAAAGCAAACCCAACAGCCCTCAGAAACCCCCAAAAAATTCGGTGGGGGGGGAAAGCTCAGGGCTTGCCACACCCCCCCAAGGAATGTGGGAGCTGTAATTCCCAGCTGGAGGGGCTGGAACAGCGTCCTCAGGGTGTGCTCAGGGGCCTCAGGGTGTCACCTCCGGGTGTCACCGGGGACAACGATGTCCCCGAGGAGCAAGAGGGGGTGGCTTTGTGAGCCCTTGGCATTGTGTGGGCCACGGGAAGATCCCAGCGATCCAGGCAGAGCCAGCCTGGCCCCGGGGCTTAAACTGCCCATCTCCATGACAATAAAGGCTCATTCAGGCCCCCATTCAACCCCACACAAAGCTCTGTTTGACCCCACCCCGGGGCTGTGAATTGATGGATTATGTCCCCCGTGGATCCTTTTTTTTTTCCTCCCCCACCAAGTCTTCTCCAAGCCTCACCTTGGAGGATGATGTTGCTGAACTCGTGGGAGGGGTTGAAGACCAAGTGCTTGGCCATGGAGTCCCCCTCGGAGGTGACAAAGAGGCAGGAGGAGCAGGAGAGCTTCACACCGCTGGGAGAAAAACAGGGGAGGGGGGGAAAAGAGAAAAAAACAAGGGGGGTGGAGAAATAAGGGTCACATCAGCCCTAAAAAATACGCCCGTGCCCTTACTAATAATTAGAATTAAACGTGTCACCCCTCCAGGGCAGACAGGCAGAGTCTCCCCTCTGGAATACAACATTTAACCCACCCCCCAAAAAAAAAATCCCTAAATATTTAAAAAATAAATAAATAAATAAATAAAAATCAACAGCTCCTTCCGGCTGCTGAAGATCAGAAAGGGACTGCACAGGAGATTCCCAGGGGATTAAAGGAGATGATGGACTTAAAACTGGGGCTAAAAGAGCCCCCCCAGGTCTGCATTACCAGGCCGTGTAGTTCTTGAACAAAGCCAAGTATTTCGGGCTCTTCCGAGGGACGTGGTTGCTGGAAGACACAAAAAAAAGTAACCAAAATCGGCACCAAACCATTTCCAACCCCCCCCAATTTTTGGGGGACAATTTTCCCACCCTTTGGTGCAGCACGGTGGAATTTTTGGTAAGGGTGGACGCCTTTCCCCCCCTTTTTTAAAAAGGTGACTTCCAGAGCACTGCAGGGAGGTGGGATTGCCCCAGATCCATGATTTTTTTCCCCCCAATGGAGATTCCCAGGACTCACTTGATCATGTGGTTGGCGTAGGCCCGGGAGCAGCAGGTGCTGTAGCGACACAGGGAGCAGTGCACGTAGGTCGGGAAGTGGTTTGGGAAGTCTGGGATCTCAAAGCTGCACTCCAGGCACGTCTGCCTGCCCAGGACGCTCCTGCAGAGGGCAGGGAGGGAGCTCTGTCAGCGCTGGGATTGCAGGATGTGTGGAATTTTGTTGGGATAAGAGGGGGTTTAAGGACACGGGGAAAATCTCGTTCGTTCCCTCAGGGAGGGGGGGCAAACCCTTCCCACCCCCTGTAAATCATTGGGAAGTGGGGAATGAATGGGAAAATGAAAGCAAATAATAACCCTGAGCACAAGGCAGCAGCACCTGAGGGGCTTCGTACAAGGGGTGGAGTGACAGGGCAAGGGGAGTGGGTTCAGAGTGAAAACAGGGACATTTAGGGTGGATATTGGGAAGAAATCCTTCCCTGTGAGGGTGGGGGAGGCCCTGGCACGGGTTATTCCATGGATTCCCCATCCCTGGAAGCGCCCCAAGGCCAGGCTGAACTCAGAGCAGGACTAGTGGAAGGTGTCCCTGCCCATGGCCTGGATGGTCTTTAAGTCCCTTCCCACCCAAAACCACTCAGGGTGGGGGGAAATCCCTCCCCTGCTGGAATTCCACTGCCAGCTCCCTCTGGATTCCACCCTTAGGGCTCTCCCAGCACAATCCTGGTCCTGTGGGAAGCCAAACTCCTGGAATAAACGCCCCCCCCCCCCAACCTTGGCATCGGATCGAGGATCAGGTGTTTCCCCGAAACACAATCCACGAGAGCCCCTCCGAAACCCTTCAGAAATGGAAAATTCAGCCCAAAAAAAAAAAAAAACCCAAAAAGGGAGTTCTCACATTTTTTTGACCGCTCTCTTCTGGACGTTCCTCTGGACAGGGGGGTACAGGAAGATGGGCTGGGGGTCTGAGGATGACGACAGAGGAGCTGTGTCCTGTCCCATGCCCTGGGACATGTCGTTGGAGGAGACCGGCAACGTCCGCGGCTGTCCCCTGGACGCCCTGATTGTCACCTGCAGGGAGCAGAGACACCCCCCCAAAAAAAAAACCACCAAAAAAATGGGGTAGGAATGAGTTTTGGGAGCATCTCTCTGCTGGTGATGTGGGTAGAGGGAGAGGCACTGAGGTGGTGGGGTCACAACCAGGCTGCAGAGGTGGGAGCAGGAGAGGGGATGTCCCTCAGGAATTGGGGTGACAGGACAAGGGGAGGTGGGTTCAGACTGGGATTTGAGCCCCCAAAAAGTGCCTGTTTGTCCCTAAAAAAACTATGGAGCACGTCCAGACAGCTCAGGCACCTGCAGGAGGTGAGTCTGTCACCTCCTCTCTCTCTCTCTTATTCCCAATTAACTAATTACACCTCCCATCCAACTGTGGGTTAGGTGACGGTTTTTCACAACCCCCAGCAAACACAAACACTCCAGGAGTTCCCCCTGGGAATCTCCTCACCTTGGTTCCAGGTTTTAATCCTTCCAGCTGCTTGGGCTTCCGGAAGGTTTTGTGGTGCTGCAGCTTGTGCTCGATTTTGTCCTTGGCGAAGAGGAACTGGAGCCTGCACTTGTTGCAGTGATAAACACTCTTCTTCTGACAAATTAAAAGGGAATAAACATCAAATCCCCCCCCAGGTTTTCCCTCCTCTGAGAGCAAAAGAGTTCCTGTGGCCTCTGCAGGTCCCTCACGGCCAGGCCTCGGATCTGGGGGGGATATTGGGGGGGGTTTGTTTTTAAATCTGAAGGTGTTTTTGTTTTTTTTAATTAAAATCATCGGGTTCTGTGCAGGCACCACACCTAGAAGTGCCAGGGAACAACATCCCCCTCGAGAGCCGCCTTTCCCTTTGCCTCCCACGGGACGCCCAGCAGAGGATTTTGGGGGGGGGGCGTTTCAGCGAATTCCCGAATCCTACCCACTAATCCCTCCTTTCCCACCCCCCAGGAGGGTGATTCCCGCTGTACCTGGTGCCTCATGAAGTGCTGCTGGAAAGCATTCCCGTTTTTGAAGACCTTGAGGCAGTAGGGGCAGAGCAGGTGCCGGGTGTCCTCGTGGATCATCCGGAAATGACTGTCCACCTCGGAGTAGAGGGAGGAGCGGTACTGGCACACCTGCAGGACAAGGGGTGGGGGGGGGAGATCCCAAAAAAACGCAGGGATTCATCAGCAGGAACGTTCCCAGGGATGCTCAGAACCCCTGGGAGAGCCTGAGCTTGTCCATCCGTGGAGTTCAGGAACCAGCAGGGGGAAAAAAAAAAAAAATGCCACTGGGGCTCCCCCCGGGATCACTAATTTGGGATGGAAGATTCCAGGTTTCCTCTTTTCCTCCTACATCCCAGTTTTCCTACCTGGCACACGTAGGGCATCTCCCCTGGCTTGTGGGTGTCCTTCATGTGCTGCAGGAACATGGGCTCGCTCTCAAAGGCCCACTCGCAGATCTTGCACTTGGCTGCAAAAAGAAAAAAAAAGAGAGAGAGAGAGGAAAAGCAGGTCAAAGCTCGGGGAGAAACAAATTAGAATTTACAGGTTCTTTGGGTTAAAAGCGCCCTTCAGGATTTGTTCTCAGTGTTCTCCCGTTGGGAAGGAGGATAAACCCTCCTTCAGCAAAACTGGCAAACCCCAGCCAAGGCTCAGCAGTGAGGGGAGCAGGAAATTAAACAGTGAATTTTCTGCCCCAGACTGAAGTGGATTTTGGCTTTGCCTTCTCTGTGTGAGACACTCGTGTGACTCCACTCCACCTGCTGGTGTTGAGTCAGGAGGAGACGTTTGTTTGTTTTGTTTTGTTTTGTTTTTTCAGCAAAACAGAACAATTCCCTGAAGGAAAACCGAGTAAAACCAAGGACATCACTCAGGGATCTTCTCCCCTAAAAACTGGTTCTACCTGCTGGCTTCAGGACAAGCCCAATTTTGGGAATCCCTGTAAGGTTTGTGACAAAAACCCCCCCAGTTTAAGGTGGGAAAAGGCAGGAGGGGCTCACTGGTGGACTCGTAGGGGCTGTGGACGTTCTCCAGGTGGCACTGGAGCTGGAAGGGGGTGGAGAACTGCCTGTAGCAGTGCTGGCAGATGGTGTGCACGTCCACCTCGCCGTTCTGCTGGTCCAGCTCCACGTGGTGCTTCATGTGGTTCATGAACCTGCGAGGGACGGGGGGACACAAATCCAAAAATGTTCTGCACCTCTGACCCCCAAAAACTTCTTGGTCTGGGCCCTGGCTGGCCCAGAAAACACCAGTTCACCAACAGAACATTTCCTCCTCCCGGTGAGAAATCAAGGCAGGGAGATGAGGAGGAGGATTTTACTGGGTTTTTTTTTTTTCAAGGGTTATTATTTCTTGTCACCCAGCCACGAGCAAAGGAGACCGCCCTGGGAACTGGGGGGGTGCTCAGGATGGCTTTTACACACAAATCCCACCCAGAGCTCTGCAGCACCGCCGGTGCTCACAAATCAACTCCAACCCTCCAAATTTGGGCTGTTCAGGGTTGTTTTTTCTACATAAACCCACTGCAACTCTGCAGCGCCACTGGTGCTCAACAAACCAACTCCAACCCCAGGAACTGGTTGGTTCCGTGCCCCCCTGCCCTCACCGGATGTTGTTCTTGAGCCTCTTGGTGCAGTGTGGGCAGCGGAAGGACGTGGGCACCTTGGGGAAGGGCAGCAGTTGGGCGCCCTTGCCCCCGTCCCGGCCGTAGTAGAAATCATCCACCAGCATGATGAGCTTGCTCTGGGCAGAGTCCGGGCCCCCCTCGCCCCCCTCGGGGCCCTTGGCACACGGGGACAGCGCTGGCACCGCCGGGCAGGGGGCAGGGGGGGCTCCTGCCGGGGGTTTCTCCGGGGATGGGGGTTTGGGGGACTGCAGGGGGGGCTCCGAGTCCAGGGATTTCCTCTTCTTCAGGAATTCCACCATCTCGGGGCAGCAGTACTGCAAAAGCAGGGCGGGGGGGAGAAACAACGCAGGGTGAACCCACGCCCAGGACACTCAAACCCCCCACAGAAAAGTGAAATCTAGGAATGATTAATCACTAAAAAAATCATTGACTCCCACACCAAAGTGCATCTGGAACTACTGATCCCCCTTAAACTGGATCTGGAGCTAATTGAGCTGTATATCTAGAAATAATTAAATCCCCCGAGTCGAGCTGTATCTAGAAATAATTAACGTGTCAATAAATAAATAAATAAATAAAATAACAACAACAACAACAAAACAACAACAACAATAAAAATATAATAATAATAATAATAATAATAATAATAATAATAATAATATCCCGAAGAATTCCCAAAGGGAATGGCCACTCACACACATGTGTCCCCTCAGAGCTTCGGTGACCCTGAACTGGGCGTCACACCGGGGGCAAACCTTCCTGCCACCGTCTTGCAGGTCGAAGGTGGGAATCGGGGATGAGCTGACTGTGACAAGAGAAACGGGAGACGAAACGAGAAGGATGAAATTCCTCCCCCCCATTATTTTTTTTTTTTTTTTTTTGTTCGGTTTTCCAGCAGAGGAGAAGGCTGGAGAAACGCAGCTGGAACACAGACGGCATGGAACGCCCCTTAAATCCAGCCTGGCCTCCCAGTGGCATGAAATGCCCCTTGATTTTTGGCTTCCTCATGCTCTTTGGAAGGTGTTTTTTTTTGGGGGGGGAGGGGGGGAGAGCACCCCTCGTACCTTTGAGCGACGAGGAGGAGGAGGAGGATTCCGACACGCTGGATCTCTGGGATCCGGGGCTGCTGTTGGACACCACGAGGGGGCCCGGGCTCTGCCCCAGGGAGGGGACAGTGTTGAGGGTGTTCACCAGCTTGGCCACCTCGTTGCTGTTCTCCCCCGTCACGCCGGGCCTCTTGACGGTCACGAAGCTGGCGATGCTCACTGGGAGGGAGGGAGGGAGGGAGGGACAACACAATTCCAGCGAGGAATCCCCTCTGGGAACCCCAACCCCTTTTTCTAAGCCTCGAGGTTTCCCCAGGCATGGCTGAGCCATGGATTATCCCACTGGGAAGGTGGAGGCTCAGGGGTGGACCCTCTCACTCTCCAGGACTCCCCCGGCAGGAGGGGGGAGCCCAGGTGCTCCCAGGGACAGCGGGAAGAATTCCCAGGTGGAGAGGGGGATGTGGGGCCAGGAGGGAGGCAGGACTTACTCTGCTGGGGGGCCTGTGCCTGGGGCACAGTGCTGCGCAGGGTCAGCGTGGCCGGGATCACCGTGGTGAAGGTGTTGGGGGCGGGTCTGACGGGCAGCGGCGTCCCCGCCCTCACCTGGGCCACCTGGGAGAACACCTGGGGGACCCCCACGGCGGGTTTGACAAACTGGGTACCTGGGGCTTCAAACACACACGGACACGTCAGCGGCCCAGGCCTGAAGCAGGAACCCCATCCCAGGCCTGAACCGGGAACCCCATCCCAGATCAAGATCAGGAACTCCATCCCAGACCTAGAGCAGGAATCCCATCCCAGATCAAGATCAGGAATCCCATCCCAGACCCAGAACAGGAATCCCATCCCAGACCCAGATCAACTAATCCCATCCCAGGCCTACATCAATTAATTCCATCCCAGGCCTAGAGCAGGAATCCCATCCCAGGCTGAGATCAGGAATCCCATCCCAGACCCAGAACAGGAATCCCATCCCAGGCCTCCATCAACTAATCCCATCCCAGGCCTACATCAATTAATCCAATCCCAGGCCTACATCAGCAATTCCTAGATGAGGAATCCAATCCCAGTCCTGGATCAACTGATCCAAGTCCATCCCCTGCACAGCAATCACCCAGCACAACCCGCTCCCCACTCCACTGCTGAGCCCCCAGAATTCCCAGGGGGAGTTTTCCTTTCACTTCCCGACTGGATTTGGATGCAGATTGCATCAACAGCTTTTCTTTAGGTGGAGTTTTCCCCCAAAAGCCCAAGCAGCTGGCGAGCTCCAGTTTCGGGATTTGGGTGGTTTTAATTCCATTTATAAATGGTGGTTTTTAGGCAGGTTTTTATTCTCCTTCACAATCCCTCAGTCACCAGGGATGGAAACCCAGGGCATGACCGGGGGGGATCCATCCCCCAGTTCCAAATTAATTTGGACACGAAGGTTTTGGAGACCCATTTTGGGGGACAGTGACCATGAGTTTGGGGTCCTTCTGAGGTTCCACGGCAGGGTCTGGCAGCAGAAATGAGTGTTATTATTAAAAACCTCCCCCCGGGTGAACACAAGTTTGAAATGTAATTTTTAGTGGGTTTTTTTTTAGCCCTAAAAAAGGAGCTTTGGCAGTGCCAGCCCTTACCTGGCACGAGGGTGATGGGTCTCACCGTCTGCCCTTGCTGGACGTTGAGCACAATCCCGACCTGGTTCATGGTGTTCTGGACGGGCCTCACGTTCCTCACAGGGAACCCCTGGGATCAAACAGCACCGTGACCACACCAAAGCACTTCCAACCCCTATTACCCACCCCAAAAAATCCAGTATTAACTCAAAAATAATCCACCCCACCGGCGGGGCTGGACCAGGAGGTGCCTTCCTTATACCGGATAATATCCCATAAAAGGCCTCCACTCATCCCTCCTCCCCCCAGGCACCCAAAAACCTTCTCCCTGAAAAAAAAAACCTTCAAAACCCTCTTTTCCAAAACCTTCTCCCTTCCAACCTCCATTTGTTGACCAACTGTCCAACCAACCCCAAGGGTCAAGTCCCAAACCCCCCACGAGGCGCGAAGTCCCTCGGGAGCGCTCGAGGGAAAAAAAACGGGACCGTTCCCACCTTTTTTTTCCCCCTCCCCATGGAATTCCCGGCTCCAGGAGCTCACCTGGGTGGTGATGAAGATGGGCTGGCTGGTGACGGGCGGGGTGGGCACGTGGTTGGCGTTCTGCATGATCTGCACGGGCCTCAGCAGGGGCTGGGTCACCACGGCCCCCAGGGCGGGCGTGGGGCTCTGGGTCAGCAGCAGGGACTGCCCCCCCGGCGGCACCGCGGCGTTCCCGCCTGGAAAACACCGGGAGAACAGCGCAGGGAATGAGTTTGGGGGAGCAGGAATTGTCCCACTGGAGGTAGGAAGGAGCAGAGCTCGATCCCCCCCACCACTGCCCGGCTCCAACCTTCCTGTCAGGGAATTCCAGAGCTAAAATTTCCCCCTGAGTCTCCTTTGCTCCGGGATGAGCCCCCCCCCAGCTCCCTCAGGAATTCTCCAGCCCCTTCTCCTGCTGCTCCAGCCCTTCCATGTCCCTCCTGCAGCGAGTTGGGCTCAGAGCAATCAGAGGAAATTAAGGGAAGAGGAAACGAGGCCGAGCGTCACTTCAAATATATTTAGAGTTGGGCGATTTTGCCTTTTTTTTTCTGTCCCAGTAACTCGAGTGAGACGTTTTAAAGCCAATCTGCAAGGGGAAGAATTGGGATCCAGCAGAAAGATATTCCCGTTTTTTTGGGGGGTTTGGAAATCCTGCGTTTTTGAGGTGTTGGGGGGGTCTGGTCTGGCAAAGGGAAGAGGTTTTTGGGTAAATCCAAGTTAAAAAGGATGAAATGCCTCAGGAGAAATTCAGACCTGAGGGGGTTTAATGTCTGAAAGCTGCTGAGTTGAACCCCAGTGTGGATGCTGCTGTTCAAGGAAAACACAAATTTTAGGCCTCCAGGCTTGTTCTTTAGGGAATTATATCCCAAACCAAACCCTACAGCGGGAGAACAGACCCATCCCAGGCTTGTCAGCCCCGTCAATTAATTAAAACATTAATAAATAAAATCCCACCCCACAGCCAGGAGCAGGAAAACAAGACTGGGGGGAAAGCTTGGGATGACTCCAGGCAGGATTTTGGGAGCGTTCCAGCCATTCCCAACTCCAGTCTCTGGGCCAGCAGGGCCTGCTGGGGCACTTTGGTCACCCCAAATCCTCCCTGGGATGGGGGGACAAGGAGGATTCCCTAGGGACAAGCCAGAGCCACTTCCCTTCCCGTTCAACCCCTGGAAGGGGAGCAATCCCAGGGGAATCGGGATCAAGCAGGGAACCACCTGTGGCAGTTTTATCCACGGAATTGTAATCCTCCACCACGGAGTCTTCGATGACATCGCTGATCTTCTGCCACGGCTCCAGCTCCTCCTCCTCACATTCCATGAAAAGGTCCGTGTCCGCCATCCTGGAAGGAGGGAGAGGAGGTGGGGGGAAAAGGATGGAATCTGGGATTATAAACCTGATTGGTCATCTCCCCCAGCCACAAAAAGCTGAGGAGAAACCAGCCTGGAGAGGAACCAGCCCAAAACAAACTGAAAAAAAAAAAAACAACCTGCTAAAAACCAGGAATTACCAGCTGGATTAAATAAACACACAGCAATGAGCTTAATAATATGAGATTTATTATCTAGGCCTGCCCTTTTTATCCCAGCACGGCCGCAATTCCGGCCAAGCTGCTCTGATTCCAGTCGTTTTTAAAATCAAATCTGGAGCTGGGGATTTCCAGGGAACCCCCTTTTGTTCCGCTCTTGAAACCTTCGGCAATCCAAATTATTTCTGTGCCGTTTCATTTTTGGCCTCGAGGAAATCGAAGTTTGCCCTTTCTGGAGGGGTTTGTTTGGTTTGGGTTTGGTTTGTTTGTTTGTTTTTAAAGGAGGTAAAAAGCCCCCAAATCCCAACCCAGCTCCCATATGGATATAGAGATTTATGGATATATGGATACAGAAACACATGGATATAGAGATATATAAATATAGGGATACATGGATACATAAATATATGGATATATGGATACAGAAATACATGGATATAGAGATACATAGATATAGGGATACATGGATATAGGGATACAGGAATATATGGATACATGGATACAGAGAAACAGGAATACATGGATACAGGGATAAATCAGCAGTTGCTCAAACGCATCCACCGAAGAAAAACAGAGGCCTAAAATGATCCTTAAAATGTCTCAAACGAGGAAAAAATTAAAAAAAAAAATAATAATATCTAATAAAATAATTGTGAGCAACAAATCCCCTCTGTCACCCCTTCAAGCAGGAAAAGGGAGAGCAGCAAAAAGACACAAATCCACGTGGGAATGGGAATGGGAAAGGGGGGAAACTCTTTCCCTGGAATCGTGTTACTCCAGGGCCTGGATGCTCCACTGATGGGGTGGAGGGGATCTATAAATAACCAGCAGAAATCTATTAATTAATCCAAGCAAGGTTTGCAGCCAGCCCCTGGAACTCCCTGGAACGGTGTTGGGAGGCAACTAAATAAATAAATAAATGAATAAATAAATTTTAAAAATCCAGATATTATTCAGCAGCTCGTAAATATTCACAAGACGCACCGACAAAACGCTGAAGAGAGGAGGTACAAGCTGCTCCTGACACTTCACTTACATTATTCACGGGGTATTTTTCAGCTGTTGTTTTTTTATTTTTTTTTTTTTTGAAGCCAGAAAATGTCTCCCCCCCTCTCTCTCTCTTTTCTGGAGTGGGAGAACAGCTTTTGTTTTGCAAAGCTTTGATCAGGAATATTTTGGTGCGTGAGGAGCCTTTTTGCTCAAATAAAGTGATTAATGCCGGTGATAAACGCTGGGGGTTTGTCGAGCTCTGCCAGCAGAGCTGCCAGAAAAAAATAGAAATAAAAATAAAACACAACAGCAGCAACAAAAGATGAAGAATATTCCGGCGTCCTAAGAAATCAAGGTGGGTTTTATACAGCTTTTATCTCCAGGTGTTGTTATCTCTCTGTATATAAAAAGAGAGATGTGTTTAATTAGAGATATAATTAGATATAAATATTTGGGTGAGCTCTTTGGGGCAGTTACAATGAAGAGATTAAGATATACTAATATATAAATATATCCCATGCTCCAGGTGAGCTGGGGGAAAAGCACAGGTGGGTTTTGGGAACTGGGAAATTCAGCCCTGACTGGATCAGTGTGGGAAGAAGCCTGGAGGGAGCAGGGGAAGGGCCTGGGAATCCCCACTCCCTTCCTCTGGATCAGGAACTCCAGATACAGATCCATCGACGCCACAAGCGAGGAGGGAAAATGTTAAATCCTCTTAAAAGAAATTATTTCCTAACCCGAAAAGACGACCCCCAAATCAAAAAAAAAAAAAAAAAAAAAAAAAACCCTAATTTAAAGCTTTTCCCAAAGGGAACACACAACTTTTCTCCAGGGAGTTGTGCCTCATCTTCTCCCTGGCTCTTGATTAAAAGTGTCTTTTAACAACATTTTGGCTTTTAAGGAGCCCCCCCCAAACCCCACTGTTTGGGAGGGTGAAATGCAAACAAACCGAGGTCTCAACACTTTGCAATCCCTGCCTTTTAAAAAAAAAAAAAAAATTAAAAAAAAATCAAGATAAAGCTTTTTTTTTTTTTTTTTTTGTGGCTTTAAATGACTGCCTGGCAGGGCCCAAACCTCGATGTAATTTTAGGTGATGAAAACACCACTCTGGCTGGATGTTTCCCCTGCCTGTTTATGTGGCTTTCCCCTGGGGGAGAGAAGGGGGCAGGTGAAAAGGTGAGCCGAGTTCAGCATTCCCAGGGAATTCCCTCTTGGCTGGACTCGACGGTGGGTGCTGAAATCGCTTCCCAAAGGCTTCCCAGGAACGCCACCATTCCAAATCCCACAGGTTCTAGGAAAGGCATGGAACTGCCTGGTGCTGCTGATAATTAAAATGTCTTATTATTACACGTTTAATTAGAAATGATTGTTATCTGCCTCAGAGAAAAAAAAAAAAAAAAAAAAAAAAAAACAAAAAAAAACCCCTTCCTGACTTTTTGGAGCTTCCAGAGTGGCTGGAGGGGCGTTTTTGGGGAGCAGACAGAGCAGAGCTGCTGCTTGGAGGACGCTCCAAGCTTCTGGCTCTGGGAAAAGGGCACAAAAAGAACCCAATTTTCCCCCACCCAGAAGAACTGGAAGTAACATTTTCACACCCCCTACACCCGGACAGAGCTCGGAAAGGCAACAAAGGGCGAATTCCCCCCCGGGGGAAGGGGGGGAAACACCGGAGGAGGTTTTTCCAAGCTAATAATTACAGGGTTGGAAAGGCAAAAAAAAACGATGTGCAAAGGCAGCAGGTCTGGCTGCACGGCCAGGGAGAAAAATTAACAGGGGCAGGGAACGGTCGGGGCACCCTGGAAAAGCATTTCCCAGCAGGAGCCATCCCAGCTGGAAAAGGATGGATGCCCTGAGGGTTCCCCAGCACAGTCAGGATGGCACCAAACACCTGATTTTTTTTTTTAATAGCCAGGAGCAGCAGGTGCTGCTGGAGCGAATTCCTGAGCTTCCCAGGGAGGAGGCAGCGAATGATCCCGGATTTCCCAGGGGTCAGGGACGGGGCAGGTGAGCTCAGGGAAGCAAAGGAAGAGCAGCTTTCCCTTTCTCCTTGGATGGGGTGGGGATGAGAGAGGGGATGGAGAGAGAGGGAGAGAGAGACCCCTCCTGTCACCTGAGGATGGCACCGGAGGGGCGAGACAGTGGCAGCACCAGGAGAACCTGGGGGCCTGAGGGAGATGCTGAGGAGAGGGGTGGGATGGCAATCCTAAATCCCAGGGGATGAGGGTTGGGATGGCAATGCCAGGACCAGGAGGATGAGGGTTGGGATGGCAACCCCAGGACCAGGAGGAAGGGGGGTGGGATGACAATCCCAACTCTCTGAGGGGTGGAATGGCAATCCCAGCTCCCTGAGGGGTGGAATGTCAATCCCAGATCCCTGAGGGGTGGAATGTCAATCCCAGATCCCTGAGGGGTGGAATGTCAATCCCGGATCCCTGAGGGTTGGAATGGCAATCCCAGCTCCCTGAGGGGCTCACACAAGGCACTGGAGAGGGGGAACCACTCTGCGAAGCTGGAGAACGAGCAGGCCAAGGAGGAGGAGGATGGGGAGGGGGTGTTTTATCTCTCCAAAGATCTGATCAGACACTCCCCCCTCACCCCTAAAAAAGGGAAGGGGAAAGGCCGCAGAACCCCACTAAAAACCCACCCTCGGCGTATTGTGGCGGCTAAGAAAGGCGGCGAAAAATAATCCCCGTGCCCAACATGGCCGCCCACCAGCGCAGCGCCGGCAAAACGAGGAGGGGGCGGCAGCCAGCGGGAAGGGGTGGGCGGCGGGGAAGGGCGGGTGGACGAACGCGGCCTCTCCCCCCTTCACCCCACGGGGGGACGGCGATCCCGGTGGAGTGGGGGGAGAAGCGACCCCCCGAGTGTGGGGATGGAGGGAGGGAGGGGGGGAGCGCGGAGGGAGCGGTGGCGGCGGCGGGGCCGCATCACCGCCGCGCCCCCCTCCCCTCCCCTCAGGGGCGGCCGCTTCACCGCGCGCGCGCCCCCCCGCCTCAGTCCGTGAGGGGAGTGCGCGGATCCCTCCGCGCCCCCCTCAGAGCGCCCGGCGGGGCCCGGCGGGAGCGGCCGCGGCTCCTCCCCGGTCACGGCGAGCCCTCCTCCCTCCTCCTCCTCCTTCTCCTCCGCCTTCTCCTCCTCCTCCTTCTCCTCCCGCCGCCGCCACCGCCGCTTTGTGTACGGCGCGCTCCGGCCCTGCCGCCCCCCTCCCCTCACTCCCCCCCCACCCCCCCTTCATTTTCCCTCCTTC